TGGAGAAGACGTTCTGTCAGTTTGGCAAACTGGAAAGGGTTAAAAAGCTTAAAGACTACGCCTTCATCCACTTTGAAGAGCGAGATAGCGCTGTTAAGGTAATTATCTCTTCCTCTGCATCATTTGAGAGGTTGCTGGTAATTAATGCACAGATTTTAACCAGTGTGTTTCTGCAGGCTTTAGCTGAAATGCACGGGAAGGATTTGGAAGGGGAACAAATTGAAATTGTCTTTGCAAAGCCGCCTGATCAGAAAAGGAAAGAGCGAAAAGCCCAGAGACAAGCTGCTAAAACTCAAATGTAAGGCGATTTATGAGCTTTGTCACGTAACTAACTCCCCACGAACACACACAGAAATATATAGCACAACAATGCTCTCAAGGTCTAAACATGACTTTAAAATACAGAGCAAAAGTCCATAGTAACTAATGCAATATTACTTATATTTTCATCTTATGTTAGTATCTGCTATATACCAGGGGTCTGCAACCTATGGCATAACATATGAGGGATAATCACTGGCACGCGGGGGGGGGGGGTTATTGGCTTAGTGGTTAACCAAAAATATAAAAAATAGCACTTCATGCCCAAAAGGTTGCCGAACCCTGTGTTATACCGTTATATAAAGATCTCATTGATTTACATTACAAGCATCAGAAGTTCATCATGTAAATATCAGCATCTGCACCAAATTGCAAATTGCTTAGTTTGCGTCTCTGAATAAAATTGAGCTGTTTTTCCTCCATATGGTTTTGTGGTCTAGGGTCGCATATAGTGTGTAAGTGTTGTAGGTCTTTTTATTTGCTGTTGTCTCGCCTTTACATGCCCTCTTTTCCAGTTTTACACGCCCATTTCTAGAGTCTTTTTCAGATTTGAGGTGTGACCACACTCAGACTCTTGAATGGTTGTGTATGGATTGTAAACATGTGCATGTGTTTCAGGTATGATGAGTATTATTACTACGGGCCGCCGCATTTGCAGCCCCCGACGAGAGCAAGAGGGCGAGGCGCGAGAGGTTATTCGTATCCACACGACTATTACAGCTACGAAGATTATTACGATTACTACGGCTATGACTATCACAACTACAGAGGCGGTTACGACGACCCCTACTACGGCTACGATGACTTTCAAGCTCACGTCAGAGGAAGAGGCAGCAGAGGAGCCCGGGGCCCCACACTGTCCAGGGGCCGCGGCTCCACCGCTCCCAGAGGACGGGCCGGATACTCTCAGCGCGGGGGTCCGGGGCCCAGCCGAGGCGGCCGAGGGTCCAGAGCAGGCCTCCAGCAGAGATGTCGAGTGGTACGTGATGTGTGGGTGGAGCAATCCTGGAGTGTTGGCAGGAGGTTTTGAAGCGCTCTAGGCTAGATGTGCACTCATTTTAAGTCAAATTTGACAAAGGACGTAGTGATCAAAATACGTGTTTTGGCGTTTGTTTTTTCCTTCCCCTCCTTTTCATATTGCTTACACATGCAAGGCACCTTGTGGACGAAACGGACCAAAGGTTTGCACTTTCTGCTCTTTCATTCCTGGAAATACACGGCACTTATGTACACTGATTTATTTTTGACTTCTGCATATGCAAAGTGTCTTCATCGAGAAGTACTCAACTGTAGCACAAGCTGTGCGATTTAGCTTAAACATCTGTATTTTTCAGGTTTTTATATTTGAGTATTTGCTGGTGGTGCACCGAAATTAATTTTCAGCATTGGCTAAAACCGTTTTAGAGAGCGGAAATCATTGACCGAAATGGTGGCGTTTAATAAGCGCTTCTCCGTTTTGACTGCATCAGTGTCTGTTTCATGCACAAAACATGGATAGACTACAACAGGTAAACATGACTGTTTTAAATAGCGTTGAAAATGAAGATTTGTAATTTATCAACCTTAATTTTGATGAACTGACATCTTTAAGTCTATGCTGTTTTTAGCACAATATTTCCAGCCCCTGTTTAAATGTTTCAACAACAAAATAGAGTAAAAACTGTTATATTGTTAAACGGTATTTAGTACAATTTAAATGTTTATATACAAGTCAGTTTGAGTGTTGGTTGTTAAATGATTAGTGGTTGATATTTAACTTTGTTTTTGGTTTTCAGATTTTCAAAATCTTACTTTATCAACTTTAAATCAACTTTAATTTCAGTTTGGTCAAGCAAACAACAACAAAAAAACATTTTGGTGCAGGACTAGAATTTGCTCTGAAATTGCTTAGACGTGGCTTTCCCTAATCAAAACCATTTTAGCAGATTAGAATCTTCAAATGCAAAACTGAGTAAAAATAGTATTTTCTTGTAAAACGGCCACCAATAATCTGTTTTATTTCAGTAAAAATTTAAGTGTCCAAATATTTTATTGTTTGATTTTTTTTTTCTTTAGCTTTTGAGGTATTATGCATTTAAATCCTACTAATTTACAGTAGTTCAAATGAATCACGGAAATAAAGTTATGACCTCTAATGCTTTTTTTTGCTAGTAAAGTTCAAAATAGAGGTTTTTAAAACACCTGTATTAACACTCATCATAATCATAAAGCTAGTCTAAAGATTGACTCATTATAGGAAACTTCATGGGCAAAATCAATTGTTTTGTAAATATTCTGTCTCCCAGCCTTCGCCGTAATGCATCTCAAAACCTGTCTGTTTTAAATATAGCCTAATGATTTAAAGGTGAAGGTAACGGGTGCACTTCAGCAAAATCAGTCCTGCGACTGGACATGCTCATGCTTTAGCACACGCATTAATGTCACCAACTGTTTCTTTGAAAACGTTCTCATGTTGTGATGACTCGGATAACTGGATTTTCATCATCTCCTGCGCTTTTGTTGTGAAGGTCTTGCATGAACCTGATACTGTACCGCCGCTTGTATTTGTGTGAATAAAGCATGCGTGTTTTTTGTTTTACCAGGGAAAGGGGGTCGAGGCTGGTCCTGACCAGGTAGTATGAAGACTGACTTGTTGTATGGGGTTACACCGGATGCTACCAGTGTTCATAAGGTTAAAGCAATCTCAAATGTCCAATGATATTCCAGCCTGTATTGAAGCAAATCTCCTACACTGCCATCCCCGACAAACCATAAGATTTCTCAAATCGAAACCCCGGACACACAGTTTTTCCCCATTCGGAGCCCGTCTAAATAAGCCTACTCACTACTACTACTACCCCCCCGGTTATATAGTCTAAACTCGCCACATTCTGGAACTGAAGTTCAGACTCTCAAGGATCCCCATACGTCAGATGTGTTTTGCACTTTTGTTCTTTTTCTTTCTTTTTTTTTACTCCTGCGTTTGAAGTGGCTCAGAGGAGCTTGATGCTGATGTATATTTTTGTGCTAACTACAATGTTGCGTTTCATGTGGTGTGGTGTGGGATTTTGTGTCGAGTGAAACTTGCCCACAAGTCTGTGTGAAACGAGTCTTGTACAAGTTTGTACAAACAGGGCTATTCTACGCTGATACAAAAAAAAAAATGGGTGAAAATTTTGTCTTTAGGGCAAACCAAGGCATGAAAAGTTAAGTGTAGAAATCAACAGCAAATTTCACCAAATAACAATTTCGTTAAGTACCTACATGAGACTGTAAAAAATGAGTGAGAACTGGCCACAATGTAGCTGCGACAAACGATTGTTTTGATAATTGATTAATCGCCCATTATTTCACAGATCAGTAGTTTTTGTTCTATTATCCCGCTTTTACAATTAGTTAATATTAAGTCACACATATTCTAACTAAGAAATAAAACGAGGTAACCACTTCAGCATTTGAAGATGTCAATTATATTACTATTGCACAATACAAATAAATTTGGCACACAAAATGAGATGACTAAGACATTCTCATTCACCATTTAACTGAATGAAGAAGTAGCTGACTGATGCATCAGTGTGCCTGATCTCCTGTAGACATATGGGTACGGAACCAAATAAAGGTAAGCGATGAGACATTTTATTTTTGGATAAATTCTTTTATTCACAACGTTCGAGCTAGATTAAAAGTGGGGTATGTATTTTTTATGTATGTATTGTACCAAAACAATCTTGTAGCCAATCAGCAGTAAGGGGCGTGTCTACTCATGATGGCATAAAAGAAGGCTTAAGGCAAGAAGTAGGGCCCGTGTAAATATCGGATCAGCTTTCCAGCGCTGGAGAGAACTCGAGGAGCGGAAGGCCTGCGATCGGACACCGAGGTTGCTTTGTTTCTTCTCAATCGGTGAGTAACACTTTAACAGCTAAAGTCTGTCTACACTGGACGCGACAAAGCGACCGTTGAAAATCATTTGAAATTTGTGTGAATACGTCATGAATAGAACGCAGCAGCAGTTTTCTGTCGGGGATTTGTCGTGTCGCGCCGCATATAGTGTAGACAGCATCACTGATTATGAGTTGTATAGTATTTTGTCGCGTCGCGTCCGGTGTAGACACGGTGTAACATTGGTTTTGCTTTGTTTCACAGAACTAATCGTTGCCTGGTTTGCGTACGTATGTGTGGGGCAGAGCTATCAAAATAGGGGCGAGACCCTTCTGTGGTAGGGGCGTGTTTGTTTTGGTGATTTGAAATATCAACATTGGCTACCAGAAATCACTTACCCCACCTTTAAGCTTTAATCTATGCAAGCCAAACTATCACTTAAATGTAATATAACTGCTATGAATTCAAGAAATGAAAAGATAACTTTTATCCTATTGTTTCCCCAAGTGGCAAAATTCCCTCTTGGTATCGGGTGAGTTTGCAGTATGGATATCGATGGACTTGCAGACAGAAAAACACTACAGGAATTTGTCATTTTACTTTAATCTATTTATTTTGTTCCATTTGTCATCACAAACTGGTTTGCTTTGTTACAAAACCTAACCTTTTGAAAAACCGTGCTCCAACTTAAGAACCCTTGCTGTGAAACAAGGCTAAAGTGAGTTATGGTTCAAATTAAATCAAAAATCAACTTAAAACAATTAAAACAAAATATGTGCCAATAACAAACAAGACTAGATTTTAGGTTCACTGTCAACTGATGTCTTTATTTCGCCAAATGCAGACATACAAATCATGTTCAATTCATGCATTTCAAACTTATTGCAGAAGAGATTAAGCTCTGATTGAATCTCTCAGACCCCCAGGAGTTTCTTGGCCATATAGCCAGGCATACTGTAGAGGAACAGGGCCAGAATGGCAAGAAGCATCAGCGCCAACACAATTTTGATGACCAGCCACTTGTACTGGTTGCAGATGAGATGGTGAATTGCCTTTAGCGGGCTAAGGAACCACAGCAATGTAATGTCGGGGCGGCTGGTGGGACAAAACCATTGAACAAGCTTTTAAAAGTTGGGTTTTAATTAATCATGAACATGCACAAATTTAAAATGTCTCATTGATGACATGCAATTTTGGCAGGTTCAAGTGTGTAATGGTGCACATCAGTGCTCATAGACTCGTGAAGTTTAGTCAACACTGCGTTGTTCTACTTAAGAGATTCAACACTATAATTATAAGATAGCGGTTTATTTTCTGCTTCCAAATGGATGGTAAATGGGCCTGTTTATTGTGAAATATTGAAGGACGGTAATCCACCATTGGTGCAGCAGGTGCAATTATATTACACAGCGCCTGAAAATAGGCTAACTTCTGTCAACATAAACAACGTGACCACCTGCTTTCACAGGGAGCGTGCTGGGGACTATTTTCAGGCACTGCGTAATATCATTGCCCCTGCTGGACCCATGGTACGTTAGCAAAGTTCCTTGATTATTACGCCGGAATGAGAGTATAGCAACTTTTCATTTTCCGTCGGTCTTAGTACACGATGTAACTACAGAAGAGTCAAGTTTTAAATAGGAAAGATATAGAAACTCTTTGGTCATTTTTGAGCGAGATGCTAACGGTCTAATCAGATTCAATGATCTATGCTAAGCTACAGCTAAAAGTGCTACCGCCAGACCAGTAAAACTCAACTGTTTAACTCTAGGGGAGTTGGAAAATGAGCCTATTTTCAAAAATAGTGGAGTGTTCCTTTAAGTAAAGATCATGTTCCATGAAGACATTATGCAAATTTTCTACCGTAAATATATTAAAACTTAATTTCTGATTAGTAATATGCATTGCTAAGAACTTCATTTGAACAACTTAAAAGATGATTTTCTCAATATTTAGATTTTTTTGCATCCTCAGATTCCAGATTTTCAAATAGTTGTATCTCGGCCAAATATTGTCCTATCCTAACAAACCATACATCAATGGAAGCTTATTTATTCAGCTTTCAGATGATGTATAAATCTAAATTTCATAAAATGACCCTTATGACTGGTTTTGTGGTCCAGGGTCACATATTATTACAATGTCTGTGTGAATAGCATAACCAAATATAATGGTTTATGTCACAGAAAGCTCTTCTTGAAGCCACTCAATGCTCAACTCGATTTAAAGTGATTCAATAATTCTTTGAACGATTCTCTGATTCAAAATTAGAATTTCTTACAGTTGGAGAAGTTGTTTTTTTTTAGCTGAACAATTAACATTGTTATTATGCTCGTTCAGTGTTTTGATATCAGGGGTTGCCCAAAATTCATTGACCTTGTCAAAGTGGATATAAAAACTGAGAAACCATTAGAAAAACCCCTATGGGTTCACCACTGCTCTACTTTACACTTAAACAAGAACACATTAGCACCAACATTTTTCACCATTATACTGACTGCCTATAAAAGTCTTCAGATAACTTACAAAACAAAAATTATTCAAATCTCAACATCTGAGAGATTCCATGTCTGTTCTGATCACAGGACACTTTTCACCAGATGTTTCCCAGACTCTTAGGTATGAACTGGTCTCCTTACCAGTTACTAAATTAAATTGGCAGCTACTTCTCAAGGTTTCTGGATAGTGGGTGAGGCAATGGTGAAATTATAATTATTAAGCAGGCTGATATTTGGGGTGAAACATGTTTCAGAGATTGTGTGATAAACAAAGGAATAAGGGATCTGGACATTTTAAAGGGATATAATTTAATTTAAAAAGTACACATTGATGTAAGGCGGAGTATCATTCCTTTTCTGGGAGGTGCTACATCATGTGAGGAGAGATTTTGTTTAAACCAGGATATTTGAAGAGTTTCTTTGCAAAAATATTTGTAAAAATTTTAATGTTCAAAAATCTTTTTTTTTTTTGTTATGTTTTAATTGTGAATTATTGTGTTAGTTAGCTGTATTTTTTATTTATTTTTTTGGTTATTTTTACTTAAAATAATTGGAATGCACGATGAAAAAACATGATTTATGAAATTTTTTAAAAACGGAGTTATCAGTTTTTGCAAACGAACTCTTCATTTGTACTCTTCAATCAAAGCTGGAAGCAGGAAAACAAGAAGCTACCATCTATTTTATATGAAGCACTCTTTTAAAGAATTGGGTGATAAAATGTTTTCAGTATTCTAAATAAATGTGAATTAGATTTTTAAAAAGTGATTTAAAATGGTTAGTTCAATAAATGAATACTGTAATTTTTATACTTTAGTGAAAGTGAAAAATGGTTAGTGGCAAATGACTGAAGCCCTGCAGGTAGATGTAAAGACAAATGTTGCTCTTACTTTGGTTTCTCCAGAGGCTCTGGTTCATTGCGCCCTTCACCAGCAGGACTCTTCTCGGCCTCCTCGCCTGTCAGCAGGTGAAGCTCTGCTTCTACTTTCCCCTTAAGAGAGAAAATACATTGTTCAAACTATCAAAGCTGAACAGACAATGCTACAAGTGCACCCTGATAGTTTAGGATGAGCCTTTTATTGTTTATAGATGTCAGATCATGCAAAAATGAAAATTCTGTCATTTAATTAGATATTCTTCATAAAGGAAGATATTCTGATGAATGTTTAAAGCACTGTTGAAAGCAAAAGGTGCTTTTTTTTACTACCAAGTCCCCAAAAAAGCACGAAAGTATGATTACAGTAGTCCATATGACATGCAGGAGGTCACAGGATCGTCATGTTTTAGCTGCTGTTCAGCATGTTGTGTATCATGTGACAGAGTTTAAAAATGCAGAAGTGTAAGATTTGAAATGTGAATGCTTGGTGAGGAGAATTTTCAGTGAATCATTTCATTTTGGTTTGGAAGAACAAGAAATATGGGTAACACTTCAGTTTAAATTGATGTAGTTACACGTTAAATGTATCTTACTATAGTAATCCGAGTAAATTATGCATATTTACAGATAACCAACTCTAAACCAAACCTTAACCTAATTCTAATTTCATGTAGTTAAATAATGTAGCTCGGTACTTACACTGTAGCACTAAAAATGTGTAGCCTGAATATTGCACATATTGCAACAGCAGTCATATTTATATGTCAGCCATTGAAATTGCATTTAAATAGACTTTGCACTAGTGTTGCTGTAATCACTTTCTGTAAATCTCCCTCCTCCTCCCCAGGACCACCTGTCTAGATCCACTTATGGGCGGTTTATGCTTGTCTGTTTGTGCAGCCGCAGCTTAGATGCTCACGGCACGATTGTGTATATCTTATGCTGGTTTCCTTTCACGCTACATGACTGTTTAATGAAGTTGCTGTGGTTTGCACATTACACAACGAATTGGTGACTGGAGGTTAACTTCGAAGAATCCCCGACTACTCTGTATCTGCCCTGCATCTTGCTCTCTCGTTGGTTGTAGGTTGTCACCGATGTCAGTTCCAGTCAAAACACATTTCACACTGCAAGAGTAACAGCGGGGTCCAAATATTTAGCTTGCTAAATATTTTTTGGGGCTTTGGCAATGCATCGGCACTTCTCTCAGATTGTGCCTTTTAAACGTCGTACTATGCGATCATCGCTTACGTGAACGAGCACTGATTTGCCTGTAATTTTGAATATAGAAAACTGTTGGTGAGTGAAAATTGGGCATAAAATCGTGTGGTGCATACCCGGCAGCATGGTAAGTAGATTTATTTGTTTAGTCGCACAGTGCCACCTAGTGGTCAGGATGTATGAAAAATTTATATTTTTGCTTATAACTTCTGAGTGGTTGGGCCAAAAATGACAAGACTGGTCTCTTTGGAGTTGAACTATACCCAATTTATCCCATGTCAGCCATTTTGGGCATCGACCACTTTGAATTTTGTCGCAAAAAATGCCATATTTTATGAATGCATTGGCTTATCATCACGAAACATCTTTATGTGTCATCGGCACCATGCCCTGAAGGTACTCAAAAAGTTTAGGGGCAGCGCCACCTTGTGATCAAAATTTATAATGACATTTTTAAAAATGCAAATAGCTTTTGATTAACTTTGCCTATTGTCCTGAGACTGATTTTGATAGATACCTTGGATAATGTCGAGAACATTACTAATGATATTATTATATATATATAATTATATCATAATAGGCCGAACTTCCTCTCTGCTAATTCGATTTTCTTTGAAACCAAACTCTTTTCATGTCGATAGACAAAAAGTTTTGTTTACCACATCAACAAATTTGATGGCTTTTTTCCAAACTGCATCTGAAAATTATTTTACTATTGATTGCATTTATGATTTTTCAGCCATTCTGAGTAAAATCATTTTAAAACGTCATTAATTACTCATTTTTGCAGTTGGTCTAATGCTCACGCCTTTGCTTAACTTCTTATTTGGCCTCTGTTGAGCGTGGCCCCTTTTCTGCTTGCAGCCATATTTTTTATTAAGATTTTGAATTTGTTTTTTATTTAAATATTTTCTCTTTTCATTTTAGTTAAAGTTTTGCTAATTTTTTGTGTTTGTTTTTTTATTTTTTTTATTTTAGTACATCAAGTCAAACTAAATGAATAAAATAAGTTTAGGGCTTATTTTCATATCTCTTTATGGTTTAAGTTTTAGCTTACTATAAAAACCCTGTACTTACACTTAAATGCCATACTTTGTGTGGTGCTTTATTACAGTTTTGGAGGTTGACAGGCAAAAAAAAAAAAAAAGTTCACTTTCTTAAAAAGAATGTCCAAGTAGCAGTTTGGACATTCTGAAAAATATCAACTTTTGTATTTTAACAGAAGAAAAATCATGCAAATTTGTAACTACAAAAGGTACTGATTGTACATTATTAGTATATTGATGTGCAGGTCACTTACTGTAATTTCCAACTCATCATTTTCATCTCTGGCCACAAATGGCCACCAGCCTTTAATTCTCTTCTGTTTGAAGATGTTGACCATGGGCATGTCTTGCTCGTTAAGCACCATGTCAATGGAGCACTGCTTCGCTGTCTTCGCACCACGAGGAAATCGGTTCAGGTCTAGTTCAATTGCGCCTGAAACAAAAACCAAACACACACGTGTCAGCATGAATGAAGGTCATTAAGACTGAGCCTGGATGTAAAATGACTTTAAATCTTAAAAATACAACAGCACACCCAAGAAGTCGTCTGCAGAGAAGTGATCCGCATCCCACACTTGCAAATTCAGTCGGGCAGGAATTTTATACTCAGTCTCGTCCCAAGAAAACATGGACTCTTTCTTTGAGATGACGATTTTCTCTTCAGCCTGTAGGTAGTCGAAGGGGTAAACGAAGCGCCAGTTGAAATTGCCCTCTCCATGCCATATTTTATGAATGCATTGGCTTATCATCACGAAACATCTTTATGTGTCATCGGCACCATGCCCTGAAGGTACTCAAAAAGTTTAGGGGCAGCGCCACCTTGTGATCAAAATTTATAATGAAATTTTTAAAAATGCAAATAGCTTTTGATTAACTTTGCCTATTGTCCTGAGACTGATTTTGATAGATACCTTGGATAATGTCGAGAACATTACCAATGATATTATTATATATATATAATTATATCATAATAGGCCGAACTTCCTCTCTGCTAATTCGATTTTCTTTGAAACCAAACTCTTTTCATGTCGATAGACAAAAAGCTTTTGTTTACCACATCAACAAATTTGATGGCTTTTTTCCAAACTGCATCTGAAAATTATTTTACTATTGATTGCATTTATGATTTTTCAGCCATTCTGAGTAAAATCATTTTAAAACGTCATTAATTACTCATTTTTGCAGTTGGTCTAATGCTCACGCCTTTGCTTAACTTCTTATTTGGCCTCTGTTGAGCGTGGCCCCTTTTCTGCTTGCAGCCATATTTTTTATTAAGATTTTGAATTTGTTTTTTATTTAAATATTTTCTCTTTTCATTTTAGTTAAAGTTTTGCTAATTTTTTGTGTTTGTTTTTTTATTTTTTTTATTTTAGTACATCAAGTCAAACTAAATGAATAAAATAAGTTTAGGGCTTATTTTCATATCTCTTTATGGTTTAAGTTTTAGCTTACTATAAAAACCCTGTACTTACACTTAAATGCCATACTTTGTGTGGTGCTTTATTACAGTTTTGGAGGTTGACAGGCAAAAAAAAAAAAAAAAGTTCACTTTCTTAAAAAGAATGTCCAAGTAGCAGTTTGGACATTCTGAAAAATATCAACTTTTGTATTTTAACAGAAGAAAAATCATGCAAATTTGTAACTACAAAAGGTACTGATTGTACATTATTAGTATATTGATGTGCAGGTCACTTACTGTAATTTCCAACTCATCATTTTCATCTCTGGCCACAAATGGCCACCAGCCTTTAATTCTCTTCTGTTTGAAGATGTTGACCATGGGCATGTCTTGCTCGTTAAGCACCATGTCAATGGAGCACTGCTTCGCTGTCTTCGCACCACGAGGAAATCGGTTCAGGTCTAGTTCAATTGCGCCTGAAACAAAAACCAAACACACACGTGTCAGCATGAATGAAGGTCATTAAGACTGAGCCTGGATGTAAAATGACTTTAAATCTTAAAAATACAACAGCACACCCAAGAAGTCGTCTGCAGAGAAGTGATCCGCATCCCACACTTGCAAATTCAGTCGGGCAGGAATTTTATACTCAGTCTCGTCCCAAGAAAACATGGACTCTTTCTTTGAGATGACGATTTTCTCTTCAGCCTGTAGGTAGTCGAAGGGGTAAACGAAGCGCCAGTTGAAATTGCCCTCTCCGGTCAGAGAGTGATAGTGGACGTCTGTGTCCTGCTTGTCTTCTTGTTGGCCTTTTAGCCATCTGTTGGTCACAAGTTACGTGAAAAGATATATCATGAAAGATAAATGTGACCCTGGACCACAAAACCAGTCATAAGGGTCAATTTTTCGAAATTGAGATTTTTTACATCATCTGAAAGCTGAATAAAAAAAAAATTGAATAAATAATCTTTCCATTGGTGTATGGTTTGTTAGGATCGGACAATATTTGGTCGAGATACAACTATTTGAAAATCTGGAATCTGAGGGTGCAAAAAAATCTAAATATTGAGAAAATCATCTTTAAAGTTGTTCAAATGATGTTCTTAGCAATGCATATTACTAATCAAAAATTAAGTGTTGATATATTTACAGTAGGAAATTTACATAATATCTTCATGGAACATGATCTTTACCTAATATCCTGATGATTTTTAGCATAAAAGAAAAATCAATCATTTTGACCCATACAATGTATTTTTGGCCATTTTTACAAATATACCCATGCTATTTATGACTGCTTTTGAGCTCCAGGGTCACATATGTATTTGAGTCTCTTCTGTTCACCAATGCTGCATGTATTTGATCAAAAATACAGTAGAACAGTAATATTGTGAAATATTATTACATTTTAAAATGACTGTTACTCCAGTCTTCAGTGTCACATGATGCTTCAGAAATCATTCTAACTTGTAATAAAAAGCAGCAAATCAGCATATTAGAATAATTTACGTGACACTGAATTAATGATGCTGCAAACTCAGCTTTGATCACAGCAATCAATTACATTGTTACAATATATTCACATAGAAAACAATTATTTTAAATTGTAATAATAATTTCACAATATTACAGATTTTTCAGTATTTTGGATCAAATGCATGCAGCATTTGCATGCAAAAAAATATGTCTTTTAAAAACGTAACAAAAAATAAATACATTTTTTATATGTATGGCAGTACACTCTAAAAAATGCTGGGTTAAATACAACCCAGTGCTGGGTAAAATAGGGACAAACCCAGCAATTGGGTTGTTTTGACCCAGTGGTTGGGTTACTACCCAGAAGATTGTGTTAAACATTTAACCCAACCGCTGGGTCAAAAAAACCCAATTGCTGGGTTTGTCCCTATTTTTCGTTTTTGTTTTTAAAAAATACGTCTATATTTTTTTTATTTCAGTTTTAGTTATTGAAGTACATCGTCAAACTAAAAGAAAATGAGAAATTAGCGTATTTACGTGCAGGTTACTTACTGTAATTTCCAACTCGTCGTTTTCATCTCGTGCCACAAATGGCCACCAGCCTTTAATTCTCTTCTGTTTGAAGATGTTGACCATGGGCATGTCTTGCTCGTTAATCACCATGTCAATGGAGCACTGCTTCGCTGTCTTCGCACCGCGAGGAAATCGATTCAGGTCTAGTTCAATTGCACCTGAAACAAAAACCAAAAACACATGTGCCGGCATGAATGAAGGTCATTACGACTGAGCCTGAATGTACATTTAATCATACAAATCATAATAATAATCATAAAAGTACAACAGCACACCCAGGAAGTCGTCTGCAGAGAAGTGATCCGCATCCCACACTTGCAAATTCAGTCGGGCAGGAATTTTATACTCAGTCTCGTCCCAAGAAAACATGGACTCTTTCTTTGAGATGACGATTTTCTCTTCAGCCTGTAGGTAGTCGAAGGGGTAAACGAAGCGCCAGTTGAAATTGCCCTCTCCGGTCAGAGAGTGATAGTGGACGTCTGTGTCCTGCTTGTCTTCTTGTTGGCCTTTTAGCCATCTGTTGGTCACAAGTTACGTGAAAAGATATATCATGAAAGATAAATGTGACCCTGGACCACAAAACCAGTCATAAGGGTCAATTTTTCGAAATTGAGATTTTTTACATCATCTGAAAGCTGAATAAAAAAAAAATTGAATAAATAATCTTTCCATTGGTGTATGGTTTGTTAGGATAGGACAATATTTGGTCGAGATACAACTATTTGAAAATCTGGAATCTGAGGGTGCAAAAAAATCTAAATATTGAGAAAATCATCTTTAAAGTTGTTCAAATGATGTTCTTAGCAATGCATATTACTAATCAAAAATTAAGTGTTGATATATTTACAGTAGGAAATTTACATAATATCTTCATGGAACATGATCTTTACCTAATATCCTGATGATTTTTGGCATAAAAGAAAAATCAATCATTTTGACCCATACAATGTATTTTTGGCCATTTTTACAAATATACCCATGCTATTTATGACTGCTTTTGAGCTCCAGGGTCACATATGTATTTGAGTCTCTTCTGTTCACCAATGCTGCATGTATTTGATCAAAAATACAGTAGAACAGTAATATTGTGAAATATTATTACATTTTAAAATGACTGTTACTCCAGTCTTCAGTGTCACATGATGCTTCAGAAATCATTCTAACTTGTAATAAAAAGCAGCAAATCAGCATATTAGAATAATTTACGTGACACTGAATTAATGATGCTGCAAACTCAGCTTTGATCACAGCAATCAATTACATTGTTACAATATATTCACATAGAAAACAATTATTTTAAATTGTAATAACAATTTCACAATATTACAGATTTTTCAGTATTTTGGATCAAATGCATGCAGCATTTGCATGCAAAAAAATATGTCTTTTAAAAACGTAACAAAAAATAAATACATTTTTTATATGTATGGCAGTACACTCTAAAAAATGCTGGGTTAAATACAACCCAGTGCTGGGTAAAATAGGGACAAACCAAATCAAAAATACAGTAGAACAGTAATATTGTGAAATATTATTACATTTTAAAATGACTGTTACTCCAGTCTTCAGTGTCACATGATGCTTCAGAAATCATTCTAACTTGTAATAAAAAGCAGCAAATCAGCATATTAGAATAATTTACGTGACACTGAATTAATGATGCTGCAAACTCAGCTTTGATCACAGCAATCAATTACATTGTTACAATATATTCACATAGAAAACAATTATTTTAAATTGTAATAATAATTTCACAATATTACAGATTTTTCAGTATTTTGGATCAAATGCATGCAGCATTTGCATGCAAAAAAATATGTCTTTTAAAAACGTAACAAAAAATAAATACATTTTTTTATATGTATGGCAGTACACTCTAAAAAATGCTGGGTTAAATACAACCCAGTGCTGGGTAAAATAGGGACAAACCCAGCAATTGGGTTGTTTTGACCCAGTGGTTGGGTTACTACCCAGAAGATTGTGTTTAACATTTAACCACCCGCTGGCTTAAACCAACCCAATTGCTGGGTTTGTCCCTATTTTACCCAGCACTGGGTTGTATTTAACCCAGCATTTTTTAGAGTGTATACAGTGGGTACGGAAAGTATTCAGACTTTGCTCGTTGTTAAAAACAGTAGGCTTCTTTTAGCCTGATGCTGGAGTTTCACTTTCTGGCAATGAAACGAAGTAAATAAATTAGCATGATAATATAGTGTATCGGCGATCTGACGATAGACAACTCTAACCTGTACTTCATTTTTGAAATCTGATTATGTGATCCAGATTTGAATGAAAAAGAGATACCCTCTAACAAATATGTCACTGGATTTTTCCCCTGTGAAAATGTCATCGTCCTCCAGAACGACTTCGTCCGTGTTCCACACGATCACCCTGAGCTCGAACCTGTCGATGACCAAAACATAGTCGGGATATAAAATATTAATCTGTGTGTTGCTGAAGAATTTCACCAAGTGCTTCCTACTTCTTTGGCTTCCTTGGTGAAATATCGAGAGCGGGTCCAGGCGCAGGCATATCCTTCGGGAACATGTCCACCCACAACTCAATCCTCCCCTGCATCAGAAGCACTCACATTCATTAACGGCTCATTAACACCATTTCATTAGCAGACAGTGGTGCTGTTTCAGACATTATTCCTGACCTGCTCCATCCCAGGTTTATCCGGATTCAAGAGAGGCCTCGTCTCCACGTGATCTGGGACGAGTTTGCAGCCGATCCTTGGCATATCTTCCCAGCGGTTTAGCACAGCAAGAGCCAGGTGCTCATCCGTCTGTTTCTTCAGTCCTGTCAGAAAAAAGCACGTGCATTTGTTTTTATGTGCTGCTTTCCAATGGGATCTCGTAACTCCGCAGTGAATGCATAATGCAAATTTGATGCAATTAATGCAATAATGCCTTTTTTGAAAATGCATACCATTTTCATCCTCAATTTCAGTCGGGCCCGTGTAAACTCTGTTCACCACTTTCACTCGTCCCCCGGGGCCGTACTGGGGTGGACACGCATTTGTTCAAATGGCCAAACAGGAACAAAAATCTCAACGTACTGCTCTATGGTGTTTAGTACTACATACCCTGACCACATAGACTCGGACGAGGACGTTAATGGGGTCGTTGTGTGGGATGTTCTGGAACATGCCCATGTTAGAATCAAAGCCCATTTCTCTGGACATGTCATCCGATGCTGGGACTTTGTAGATGCACAGGGATCCCTACAGTACACACAAACTCAAAGATCAGACCTCTAAACTGTTATGGTACGGTAGAATGTTTACAAAGCTCAAATCGTACAAAATGTTAATATGTAATATTCTTATCAAAAACTGGAAAAGACACATTTCATAGAAAGATGTTTATATTGATATAAACGTTGACAAAACTGAATCATTTTGGGGGCCGGATTCACACGGATTCATTATTTTTTTTTTCAACCCAATTTGTTATTTTAACTTAAATAGGTTACTTACAATGATTACAATGATCTTTCCAATAATTTTAATTCTCCTTAAGTTTAGTTTTCACCAGATTAAAAAAAAACAGTTTTTTTTTGCAATTCAGTTTTTCTTTTTCATTTCAGAATTATGAGATATAAACTAGCAGTTCAGAATTATGAGATATAAACTAGCGGTTCAGAATTATGAGATATAAACTCGCGGTTCAGAATTATGAGATATAAACTCGCGGTTCAGAATTATGAGATATAAACTCGCGGTTCAGAATTATGAGATATAAACTCGCGGTTCAGAATTATGAGATATAAACTCGCAGTTCAGAATTATGAGATATAAACTCGCAGTTCAGAATTATGAGATATAAACTCGCAGTTCAGAATTATGAAATAATTCATAATTATAAATAATAATTATCAAATAATAAATTCTGACGCACAAACATCAGTCAAAAAATTGACTACATTTGGTAAATCTCCTGATCTTAAAAACCTTGTTTTGATTGAAATACTTTTGCTTACAGACTTAAATTGGTTGTATATACAACAATCCTGCCTATCGACATGGTTATTATAGCTAACTAAAATTAAAACTAAGTACTAAAATAACTACAACTGAAATACAATAAAAAATAGCTACTCTGAGCTCAAATAAAACATTAGTTCTGATTAGACTTGGTCACTACATAATTCCCATATTTCAGTTTGTGTTATTTTATACTTTCAGTGACATTACTTTTAATCTAAAATGTATAAAACAGTAATTATAAAGCAAGAGTAGATTTGTCCAATTTAGTATATGGAGAAACGGCAAGTCAAATGCAAGAGAGAAGATGACGGCAAGCAATGAGTGACAACAAACCTTGAATTTGCCAATAAGTCTGTCTTCATCAGCTGCATTCTGCTCGACGTCAGCATCATCTGAACACTTGCCTCGATAAAGGTTAAAAGTGTGAAGCCAATCTTCAAAGGTGTTAAACTCATATTCAAGCTCTCTGTTGTACATCTGTGGAAGAAACGAGATGTCCCACATTCTTTTACCTCCACAAGGCATCTCCAAACAGACACATGACGTAAAGTTTCATCTAGGCATTTCCTTTTGAAATGAACTTTTGCTGTAAAATTAATTTTTCACCCAACAATGAAAATGTGCTCGTCCTCAAGCCATCAAAGATTTAGATGAGTTTTGTAAAGGTGGTAGCCGCTGTAGGATATCAGACCGAATCAGACAATCTAAGATTTGGTCAAAACATGGTTGAAAAATGAGGAGCCCAAAATTCCACAAGAGGCCCAAGACAACAGGATGTCATAAACCAGACCCTAGCCAGTCTGAAGCAAGCCTAACCAACTCTTTCACAGAACAGCTTTCAACATTAAAACAAAAGAACACATTGACAATTCCAAGGAGATTGTCAATTTTGGGGGCAAGTTATCAAGAATAATGGTCAAAAGAGATGCACAGCATGACCATCACATGGAAACATGTGATAGTGATCACAAGCTCTTCGGATTGACTTTTCCCCCCACTTAGGAGACACAGAACAGACAAATTCCTTATGAGAGACCTCTTAACCTCTGGTCTTCATACGTTCACAGAACATGTCCTTATGTTCAGAGAATGGCACAGAAACTGCATTTCCATGTAAATATGCATCTAAATGACACTAAAAGGACCTGAGCAACTAATCATTTCTATAGTGTTTTCACTATATTTTGGATATAAATATCCATTGCAGAACTGATGTCATACGGCTCGTTCACTGAATCGCTGGCCGTCTCAGTGATCAGCCGTAAAACAGTGATTCTGTCCAAATGCCCTTACATATTAATGGTGGAGTTCCCTTTAAAATCTTAAATGATTCCCTTTGAGCTAAATTATCACTGTTTCCCTTACACCGCCCTAACACAAATAAACTCTTTTAAAGAAAGTTTTCAGGTGCCAGACAGGATAAATCTAGTTAAAATCAGCCCAGGACAGCCAGTAAAAGAAACCACCTGTTACAATATTAATCACAAAAACAGTCCAAGGAAAACTCGGTTCACAAGGTATGATTTATTCTATAATGTCCATAAGAGAGTTTTTCTCTGGAGTGGTGTGGATTATTGTGATGTTTTTATCAGCTGTTTGGACTCTCATTCTGACGGCACCCATTCACTGCAGAGTATCCATTAGTGATGGAATGCTACATTTCTCCAAATCTGATGAAGAAATAAACTCATCCTAATCTTGGATGCCCTGAGGATCTAATGTTTTGGGTCAACTATTCCTTTAAATTCCTAACTAAAAATCTTTACCTTCAGCTCTTCAATTTTGTGCTTCTTCTTCTCTGGTACTCCTTGGCCAGGCATGGCTTTGTTCTTGTTTCCTTTTCCTCTCCTTTTCTTGGTCCCTTTCATATCAGAGGCATTTAGGAGCTTATTTGGTAATCAGGGCAAAGAATCAAGGGTATACAAACTTCTGAACAGGATTATTAATGTACTTTCAATTATTTTGGAATTTGAGGATTATATGTAAACATCTGTCAAATAGCTTTGTTTGGGCAGTAATAAAAATTTATATTCTTCCATAGAAATTAATGTAGATGTACTGCTTTACATAATGACTGTCTTATGCATTTAATTATATACCTATATCATATGCTAATATCAAAGTCCCTTAGAAGGCAAGTCGTTTCATATTACAAATGCACTTGGGCATCTATATTTAGTTGTGCACGCATAGCTCCTATCTGATTAAGCATTTGCATATTTTAAGAAAGTTAAAAGTTACACTAAATTTTGTCAAACATATTGTTGACTTACCCTCTCCAGAGTCAAAGTCTTCCTTTTCTTCAGCGTCTGCCTCGTGCACTTTAATGATCTAAATCGTTCATAAATAGTATAATAAAATCTTCTCGGTTCAAAAAAACGGAACCATGCATTTTCAAGGCATCTTCTGGTGCGTGTAAAATAATTGCACTCTTCTACAGCCCTTACCTCTTTCAGTGTTTCAATCGAGGCAAAGTATTTGGACCACCAGTCCAGCATGCTTTCATCCAGCTCCTCCTCTTCCACCTCTTCGCCCTTCTTCCGCTTCTTTTTCCCTTTCTCACCTTTCTCATCATCTGGCTGTCACAATGTTGAGGACACAGAATTCATTTTCACACATAAAACTAATGAATTTATGAATGACAAAGTTATAAATGTTATAGGCATTGAACATAATAAGAAAGAAACAGATCTGACATCTGTCTACATACCATATCGACCTTAACCACAGCATCAGACGCCTGAAACAGATTCCGTAAAATGAGCAAGTTCAGAAAACCTGACAAAATTCTCTCAATTACGTCTAAATGTTTGACTGATATAATTAATAGACATATTTCAAGTATTATTTTCTAGCGTTTCCTACTGAGTCGAGTTTGACCACTGTCTCGGTTTTCTTCACAGCTGGTTCTGGCTCTGTGTGGATCACAACCTCCTCTGTAGAGGAAAAAACTATGTTAGTCGTGCCTAGTATAGGTGAGAATAAAGAAATATATACATTATTTACAACTTTTGTTGACAACAGTTGTGCTGATTCATATTTTTGTGGAAACCGTCATCAAACATTTTTATTTTTTGAGTATTCCTTGAATAAAAAAGTTAAAAAGAACAACATTTATTTGAAATAGAAACCTTTTGTAACACTATAAATGTTTTACTGTCATTTCTGATAAATTTAATGCATCCTTGATGAAAAAAAATCTTACATACTCCAAACTTTTGAAAAGTAGTATATCAGTTTCCACAAAAATGTTGGGCAGCACAACTGTTTTCAACATTGCTAATAATCAGAAATGTTTCTTGAGCAGCAAATCAGCATATTATACTGATTTCTGAAGATCATGTGACACTGAAGACTGGAGTTATTATGCTGGAAATACAGCTGCGCATCACATTCACATAGAAAAAATATATTTTAAATGGTAACAATATATCAACATTTTTGATCAGATAAATGCAGCATTGGTGAGAGACTTCTTTCAAACACATTACAAAAACTTCTGCAGTCCAAATTATCGGTTGCTGTGGATTGCACAAGTCATGAACTACGTTCAAATACAGAGTTCTGGCATGAAACTCTAGATGGCGCAAGCCGATAGATCCAACTCAATCTGACGTAATGACATCATCATCACATGGCACAGCTGATTGGTTCTTTCCTGTATCGGTAGCCAATAAGCTCGCTGCTCAACAATCAAATATATGATTATTGCTTGCTGTAGCAGTTTGCAGCGCTCTTCAGAAACAGCGAAATCAACATCTAAGATAAGTGAATGCTCTTCTAATCCATATCGCTGTGTGTATTGCGTGGTCTGCCTAATTGACTTCAAAAGTGAGCAACCATAATCAAGTTAAACTAAGTGTCATGTTAGCAGTTTGCATTGTATGCAGGAGTGAATATTAAGCATATTAGCAGCTGGAGCAAAACGCAGTTTAGAGCATACATAATCGCTCTGAGGACACGCCGATAGTAACGGACATGAAACAGGTTAAATGAGATAAGCATTCTTGTGTATGCATTCAACGGGGGTTCTCCATATACATCGGTGATTATCCCAGTGTTCACGTTCGTTATTTTTAAGGTCGATGTTTTCATTGTGATGAGTGTGTGGTTGATTTCAGCTGCGCAGGGTCAGAAGCATGCGTTTATCGCAGTCATATCAACGGCAGTGTTGCGGGAGACGCTGAAGATCGCTATCTACGGCTGTAACAGTTAGTTCTGAGTGAAATGCATTATGGGTAGTGTAGTTCAGAGAAATGTGCTCATAGGACATGTGCTCTCGCTGTGCTGTGTAGTTCAGAAACGGAGAGAGAACATTGATAGTCTGCTTTTATTTCTGTTTATTCAGGTCAGTCCACCCAGGGGTTTTTGTGCACTGTAACTTGACAACTTTTATCTGCACGAGAGAGTAAAATGGCATGCATCGGCTAACTTTATCCATCTTATCATTGCATGAACATGAATTAACAAGCTGTTACGCTGCCGTTGGGACTGATGAAGTGGAGAAAGTATGATATTTGCTCAGGTGGGTGCTGGGGTTCTATTGGATTGCAACACATATCCATTTTGTTAATGAAACATTACACATAGTGCGCATCTAATTAGAGTTAAGCCGGTCGGCGTGGTAGCCCCGGCACACATAGATAGTAATACATGCGGTTCACATGGCTCTACGGAGCAGCAGCAGTGCATATACTGTATGTTTTGGCGATAGATCTGCTTATTGGGGAGTGTTTTGTTCTTGTTTTGGCTTGTATTGTCCCTTCTATGTCTCCTGCTTTGTGGGGGGTTATTTCATGCATGTTATATTTTGCAGCAGCAATATTTCTTACATGCTCACAGCAGCATGTTGTGGATGTATTGGCAGTAGCAAGTCTCGGGACTTGCTCTGCCGCAGCAGCAGAAGTGTAGCAGATCTATTCCACCAAGACCAAATACATTAACATTGTCATCTACATTACCATGCCAATCCCTCCGAGAGTTGTCATGACAGAAATATATATTTTTTCCCATTTCCATTATTAAAAATAAATTAATTAATTAAATAAATAAAAATGTATTATTGTTGTTGTTCTTGTTATTATTTAAATGATCTCAGATGATAGCTACATCTATGATATGGATTCTGTAAGACAATCATTTAACGCTTATCAACTAAAGATACATATTGAACAGCTTTTATCTCTGGATACACACCCATGGCAGACCAGTTATTGACACTCTTGTCCGATGGCCTGTAAATGAACTTGCGTAGAGTTGTGACGGCATTAGAGCCAACTAGTGTGTAACGACCAAACGCCCGGCAGTCCACCACGCGGATGTTCAGAGGAGGATGGAGGAGCTCGTTTTCTGGCAGGTCCTGGTGAAAAATCATGAACATTGTCAAATGTTTGTAGTGTAATCAACATCATTTTGAAAATATCTCATACTTTAGTTATAAACGTGCAAAAACTCACCACTTCAAACCACTTCACCAGAGTGCTGAAGTTGGGGTTTTTCTTGTAGTTCTGAATCAGCGCTGACTGAACACTTTTCCCTGCACACTCGATGTCCACACGGGGGCGGTCTACTTGAGCCAGATTCACTCGCTTCAGGTCCCTCAGACCCCAGAAAAGAACCTGCATGCATGTTTAGTTAATTTAATGAGATTCAATTAGATTTTTTTTTTTTTTGCTGTACAGGGGCAAACCCTGGCATACAGAGGAAAAAACTCTTTGGTTCTGCACAAATCACATAGGGTAAATGGCATATGTTGGATTCAAAACAGCAACATTCACCAAATGGTGACAACTTTGGGGCGCTGTTAATTTTGTACCTACAATAATTGTGGAACTTTACTTATCAAATATAAAAAAATTGTATTTTTGTTTTTAGAAGTTCCATTTAACATCCATTTGAAGCAAATTGTGATCTCCCAGGCCCCAATATGGACAAAATAATTTTTAAACTTTTTTTGTGTGTGTGTGTGTGTGTGTGCTCTCTTATGATGGCTGCATACCTCTCTACAATACCATTTTAAAATGTACAAGAAATGTACAGTGGGTACGGAAAGTATTCAGACCCCCTTAAATTTTTCACTCTTTGTTATATTGCAGCCATTTGCTAAAATCATTTAAGTTAATTTTTTCCTCATTAATGTACACACAGCACCCCATATTGACAGAAAAACACAGAATTGTTGACATTTTTGCAGATTTATTAAAAAAGAAAAACTGAAATATCACATGGTCCTAAGTATTCAGACCCTTTGCTGTGACACTCATATATTTAACTCAGGGGCTGTCCATTTCTTCTGATCAGCCTTGAGATGGTTCTACACCTTAAGTTGAGTCCAGCTGTGTTTGATTATACTGATTGAACTTGATTAGGAAAGCCACACACCTGTCTATACAAGACCTTACAGCTCACAGTGCATGTCAGAGAAAATGAGAATCATGAGGTCAAAGGAACCGCCTGAAGAGCTCAGAATTGGCAGTAGCAAGTCTCGGGACTTGCTCTGCCGCAGCAGCAGCAGTGTAGCAGATCTATTCCACCAAGACCAAATACATTAACATTGTCATCTACATTACCATGCCAATCCCTCCGAGAGTTGTCATGACAGAAATATATATTTTTTCCCATTTCCATTATTAAAAATAAATAAATAAATTAAATAAATAAAAATGTATTATTGTTGTTGTTCTTGTTATTATTTAAATGATCTCAGATGATAGCTACATCTATGATATGGATTCTGTAAGACAATCATTTAACGCTTATCAACTAAAGATACATATTGAACAGCTTTTATCTCTGGATACACACCCATGGCAGACCAGTTATTGACACTCTTGTCCGATGGCCTGTAAATGAACTTGCGTAGAGTTGTGACGGCATTAGAGCCAACTAGTGTGTAACGACCAAACGCCCGGCAGTCCACCACGCGGATGTTCAGAGGAGGATGGAGGAGCTCGTTTTCTGGCAGGTCCTGGTGAAAAATCATGAACATTGTCAAATGTTTGTAGTGTAATCAACATCATTTTGAAAATATCTCATACTTTAGTTATAAACGTGCAAAAACTCACCACTTCAAACCACTTCACCAGAGTGCTGAAGTTGGGGTTTTTCTTGTAGTTCTGAATCAGCGCTGACTGAACACTTTTCCCTGCACACTCGATGTCCACACGGGGGCGGTCTACTTGAGCCAGATTCACTCGCTTCAGGTCCCTCAGACCCCAGAAAAGAACCTGCATGCATGTTTAGTTAATTTAATGAGATTCAATTAGATTTTTTTTTTTTTTGCTGTACAGGGGCAAACCCTGGCATACAGAGGAAAAAACTCTTTGGTTCTGCACAAATCACATAGGGTAAATGGCATATGTTGGATTCAAAACAGCAACATTCACCAAATGGTGACAACTTTGGGGCGCTGTTAATTTTGTACCTACAATAATTGTGGAACTTTACTTATCAAATATAAAAAAATTGTATTTTTGTTTTTAGAAGTTCCATTTAACATCCATTTGAAGCAAATTGTGATCTCCCAGGCCCCAATATGGACAAAATAATTTTTAAACTTTTTTTGTGTGTGTGTGTGTGTGTGTGCTCTCTTATGATGGCTGCATACCTCTCTACAATACCATTTTAAAATGTACAAGAAATGTACAGTGGGTACGGAAAGTATTCAGACCCCCTTAAATTTTTCACTCTTTGTTATATTGCAGCCATTTGCTAAAATCATTTAAGTTAATTTTTTCCTCATTAATGTACACACAGCACCCCATATTGACAGAAAAACACAGAATTGTTGACATTTTTGCAGATTTATTAAAAAAGAAAAACTGAAATATCACATGGTCCTAAGTATTCAGACCCTTTGCTGTGACACTCATATATTTAACTCAGGTGCTGTCCATTTCTTCTGAGCATCCTTGAGATGGTTCTACACCTTCATTCGATATTAATAAAAAGCATTTGGTGAGGAGATTGCAATATAAGGATAATTTTGGTTCCCCACAAAACCTTTCACTCAACAGCTCTTATAACAACCTTTTTTTTTCTTAGTGTGAAGAACATTGTAATAATCTGAAGAGCCTTTTTCCACTATGAAGAACCTTTTGTGAAATGGAGATGTTCCATGGAAATTAAGGCTTCTTCATGAAACCATTGCTGCCAACAAAGAACCATGATATTTAAGACTGTAGGTCAGCAATAGATTCTAGGTCACCCTGTAGCTGTTCTACTACGAGCAACTCACCTCAATTCGGTATTTACTCAAGACAGGTCTTATGCCAATAGGAACAGGCAGGATTGGACCACGATCGATATCGGAAGGTCCATCTATTGGGGGCAGGTCGGCCTTTCCAGCTGGTCCAATCTGAAAGATTTCCACAATACATACATATACTGTATATGCACACAGACAGACTAAGATTTAAACAGTTTCTTGTTCCTATCAGATGCACCTGCAGCAGTTCAAAGGCCGCCAGCATTTCTCCTGCAGTGCAGTTTCCCCGGTAGATCTGGTAATACTCTAGTTGAGGAGGGAAGCGTGGCGGCCCATAATGCTCGTCTGACATCTTGGTTATAGGTTTTGCGAATGTCCTACCCATGAAATCAGCTTTTCCCTTGAGAAGTAGAATGAGATTGGAAATTAACCGCATTTAAGAAGGTGAAAGCATGAAAAGCATAAGGAAATGAATAATTCGAAGGATATCAGCACTCACGACAGTGTCCTGATCATAGATCTCGATGACGATTATAGGAGGATCATCTCTCAGTTCACCAGCCTCACCATAGAGCTCCACATTATCAAACACCAGCAACTGATCCCATGTAGGACACAACGTCTCATTCAGGACCTGAGAAGAAATCATCAGGTATTAAGCTTTCCTTCTAGCTTCTTTATGCAGTAGATATTAGGTGGCGTTGTACTACATCACATCTCAACAGTTCAATGCTCCACCGCTCAAAAAGTAAAGCAGCACCAAACAGTTCAAGCCTATCAAGTGTTACTGTATGTCCAAAAGAAGACTTTTCTCTGGGCTGGTTGTGGCCTGATGGTGCTGACAAAAAGGTTTCGAGGTTTTGCATCATTAGAATTGAATTGAGACTCTATATTCCACTTTAATTCCTGAATATGAAATTAATTTGAGGTGATGTTAACCTGATGTAGAAATTTAATTCAAATGTCAATTTAAGTGTGTAAAATTAAATAATATCCTCAAATTCAAGTGTAATTTCTAATCATATTAATTTTATCATATGCAATTAAATTATGTTTTTGTAGCAAACAGGATGTGGAATTGTAATGTTAAGAAATTATTAAATTAAATAAATTAAATAAATGCATATGCATATAAATTCACATAATTCAAATTAAACTTTTTAACAGTATTTTTTGATAATAATAATAATTGTATCATATAATATTAAATCATATTAAAATAAAAAAATATAACTATACATTTTATTTTCAGATTTAATTATCTTAAATATAACTATATTAATAATCATCATGTTTGAAATGCCACCTATAAATATTCAATAAATGAACTTTCATTGGTTGAAGAAGACTTGATTTCACAGAATGCAATCAGTAAATATTTCACAGAATTTATTCAGTAAATTATAAGAGTAATGTATTTATATATCATATAACATGAATACATTCATATTTTGTCTTTAATATTTATTTTGATGAAGTTTCATTATGACATATTTTACATAACTATTAAGAAACATGGAGAAATATGCGCAAGAAGTATAACAAGTATTTCCAAATTTGGTTCTGATTTGTTCATATGCTTAAATGTGCTTATTACATGCAAATGTCAATAGTAAGTTGGCATGAAGCTTTTATCTCACCTCTGTGACCTGGCTGTGGGTGGAAAAAAATACCCTGGCAAAAGGGTCTGACAGGCCAGAGCTGTCAGCCGCAAACAGACTGCGAGCCTGATACATGTGAATCCTCAGCTGGAAGATCTGCTTCACTGTTAGCATACAATAAAACAAAATATTCTTATCATTACGATTATTATACAGACAATCTGGGGCCACTCATATAAGTTCTTGGGAATCTTACTTGTGTACATCAGGCTTATAGGGGGTGAAGACATGCCAGGCCCCTTTACTGCCTTGTTCTCCTCAAACCCATTTGGCAGGCCGCTCAAGTAGTCCTTACGCTGCCTGTTCAAGCCGAGCCACAGATACAGCTCAGTTTTAGCCTGAACGGTCCAGCCTGCAGGTCCAAAGCTTTTCTTACCAGGGAGCTAAAAAGAGAAGAACAGTCATAAAAGAAAGTAAATTAGTACTTTTTGTTTGAGTTCGGGAAGCGCTCTTTCGCTGGAATATCCTTCTACAGCACATTCAACTGTGTTCCGCTGGCTGTTAGCACAGATAAGTGCTGTGATTCCCCTGGGCCCTTCAGCATGAAAGATCAGTTTCCCTAAGAGAGCAACACGAACTAGAGTGTCTTTTTAAAGAGTTCTCTTCGTCCGTGCATTTCTGGATGCGGTCGTTTCCTTACTCCCTCTAACGATCACGATCGTCTGGGCCATATGCATGCTGAGACAGCGTTCATGGATGCTTCATATCCTCATTGTAAGAGCATGACCATTGCAACACTGAGATCTTGGCTCTTACTTCTTGTGGTGAAGGAACCCCACTTTGCTCCTAGTGTCCAGGATGCAGAGCTCCAGAGACTCACACATATTGTGCAGGGGTTTTCTGGTTACAGAATCCCAATGACTTACTTGCCCCTTCCCTTTAAATACCCAGACCAGAACAAATAAATCTTTATATTTAAGTTGTAAAACAGAAGACCTTTTGGTTGGTCAGGATCCTGTGACCCAAGAGTCACACCTGGTCAGAGATCGGAAAACAATCTCATCAGAGACACTGTGAAACTGAGACCATTTTACCAATCACACTAAGACATTTAAAATGATACCAAACATGGTGGTCTTAGCATTTCAATGACCAGATGTCAATTGTGGCCTCAGAGGAGGGGCCAGAGTCCACAGAGGATGGTTGCAAAGTCAAAGTCTGATTCTGAGTTGACGTGTCTAGGCAAACACGAAAATCAGGCTTGAGTGGAAGTCTCCACCAAACCTGGAGTAGTCACAGCTGGATGATTGGTTTCTGGGTGCGGGATGTGAAACTTAGCCATGCTCCGTCAGAGTGCCATTCTTCTTGGAATTGCATGAGGAGGTCACGAAGCCTTGGAAGGCATATTTTACTGTCAGAAGCCACTTTGCTGCCTTCTCCTCCCTCACTACCCTCAATGGCAGGGCCATCAAGGGTTACATGGAGATCTCCTAGGCAGAGCGTGTGATTTGCAGTGCTTTTATGCCCGCAAAGTGCAGCCACCTGGGCTGCGTTTCCCAATAACACTGTCTCTTAGCACGCTACGAAGACTCTAAAGGTATGCCTTAACTAAAGGTGTACCATTTCTAGGCATGTTCCCCGAACTATACCTTAGGAGGTTGTTTAAGATATACCTTCTTAAGTGCAACGCTACAAGGTGCTGTCCATGGCGGTGGTACTGAATTGGTTGATATCAATGGCTCGAGAACCGATTATTCATTATATACATGGGCTGCTTCACTGCGTTATGTGAGAAAGCAGTGTTCTTTATAAAGGAAGTGTTGATTTTAAATAAAGACACAAAACTCTTTCTTGTTAGAACGCAACGAACTTGCGAGAAACTTTTACTTTCGCTTTGCAAAATACATCAAGTCAGGGAAGAAAACCAAGGAAGAAAAATATATGCCCAGAGCACCTCCCAGTGGTCACCACATAAAATACAAGGGAAAGAAACTACATGACACACTGCTCAATAATTTAACAGCTTTTAACAAAAGAAAAAAAATATATATATACACACAATTCCAGCAGAAAAACATTCTGATAAGAGTGCTTTCCACAAGAAGCACTTCAGAAATAATTGAAATTGCATTTATCAGGACTCATGGGATCTTATGAAAATAATCTAAATGACAAACTACATCCAATCCTGAATATTTTATAGAATTTTGTAATGACTGTGCAAACATGTAACCTCAGGCCCAAACATATCATGCCTCAATCTGCTACACTGGCAGTATCCCTTCGCTGCCCTTTGAAAGGGTCATTTATATTATCATAATATATTTGCCATAGTGTCTTCATTTACTCCACAACCAAGGTTGATGCAATGTGGTGCAGCAGCTGTATCACATTTTTGGTGTAAATCACTAACTTCTGTAATTGGATGACCTTCTCAATAAAAGCACAACACACACAACATATAATCAATAGCTACTATGGCAGACAAAAAAGTAAGAAAGAGAAGAGCCCCCAGCTTCACTCCAACCGAAATGGCCTTTCTATTGGATGAATTGGCACACCACAAAGATTAACTTTTTTCAAGGTTTCGTGTCAACAGTGTCCAACAAAACAAAAAAAGGTCTCTGGGAAAGCATAGCCATGAAAATGGCAGCATCAAGTTCCAGTCCACAGAAAGAGTGGGAAGTTGTGCGTAAAAAGTGGCATGATTTTGCTAGTGCAGCCAAAGCGAGAGGTGCTGCAGTCCGGAGAGACCGGGCAAGAACAGGTGGTGGGCCCAGCTCTGTGCCTGCACTCCCCTCCGATGAGGAAAAGGCCCTGGCAATCCTTGGAGAAGTGGCCTCACAGGGTATCTTGGGGGGTATAGATCTGAGAGCAGGTGTGGATACCACTCCATGCTCTCAGAGCACACCATCCTTGATTCCTTGCACCCCCATGCCCTCTTCCCCCTCCAGCACCGGCATCACCACACCTGTCTGCACCTTCATTGGCCTCCGCTCAGGTCGTCCAGCACCAGCAATCCAGGAGTGGCTCCAGAAGGCATCCTTCTATCCGATGTAACTGCAGTGAAGAGCTAGTGGAACTTAAAAAGGAGAAGCTGGACGTGCTGCGGGGGATCGAGCAGGGGTTACAAGAGGCCAACAACCTTGCCCGGTCCATGCTGGAGGTGAAGAAGGTGAAGCTCCAGATTCTGGAAAAGCAGTATGCTTTGTCTGAAGCTAAATTTCAAAGGCCAACCATTTCAGTTCTAATCATAATGCCAGGTCAAGGTAAGCTTGATTATGATGCTCAGTACAGTCCAATGTTGTATGTTATCTTTTTATTCAAAACAATTTGATTACATTACAGATTAACTATCACCAACCCAGTGACTGCGGGTTCCAGGAAAACAGACCTTTCATGTTTATTTTCAATTATGTGGAGTGTTTTTGTTTGAATAAACACTGATTATACACAAACTGTTATATTAAACAATGTCATGAACTAAATTTCTTATAAACCGTGACTTCCATGTTGAGGTATGTGTATTCTGAAGCCACCTGGAAAACTAATGTACCTTTTGACTTATTATAAATTTAGATGTGTTACAATTGCAGTGGGGACTGATGTAAACACTAAACTCGGCAGTGCACAACTGCAACAAAAAATGGCAGGGACATGTCCACAAAAAGGGGGAATGTTGTGTAGTGATGTCAAAAGAAAAATAGGGTGCAAAATATACTTTAACCAAAAATGGAGTGAATGAATTGCTGCCTCATTTGTACACCAGCAGCATGTATGGCATCTCTTAGTTCAGGTGGGTTGTGGACACCTTCCGCCTCTTCTGGCAAAGCTGCACCTCCACTGACTGCAATGTTGTGTAGCATGGCTGTAACTACTGCTACTGCACAACATTTTTCTGGCTTCAGACGCAAACCTCCAGCTGATTTATGCAGGCACCGGAAATGCATCTTCCAGCACCCAATCAAACGCTCCACCAAGTTGCGGGTATGGATGTGTGCAATGTTGTAATTGTGCTCAGCCTGCATGGTGGGGCTGGTGACTGGATCTAAAAGACAGGTTCTTAGAGGGTAGCCGCTGTCTCCAAAAAAAAAAGAGCAGCGCAGTTTTTGCAACCAAAAACGACAAATGAAGGCCTGGTCGAGTGCTGATGGGTTGGTGATGGGGATAAGTGTCCCGTCCACAAGGCCTATTACTCGCAGAATACTGGCAATGGCATGGAAGCCTAGATGCGCCTCCATCCCTTTGTGCCTGGTGGAAAGCATCCGGATATAATCAGTGGCTTGATGGAGCAGAATGTTTGTGACTGAGTGAACCCATCGCCACACCGAAGTCTTACTCAGCCCATATCCATCCCCAACCCTTTAGAAAACTCCCCACTGCATAAAAACGGAGAGCCGCCAGAAGCTGAATTTCGGGGCTGAGGGGGTAGCTCCATTGAGTTTGTCTTGACAAAGTCGGATGAACAAGATCTAAAAGCTGTCAAGCTTTTATATATCATCTACATTACTTCACAATATCTACATTAAACCATTGTAGTGTCTGGACCAATCAAACACACAATATATATTTTGTTTTTATATTTAACAAATACTCTGTAACCCCCCTCAGTTAACAAGCCATATGAGGACCCATGAACCCTTCCCCCCGAAATGCGTAACACCCCAGGAAGCCGAACAGGCACCTGGTTGCATAGCAACCAACGCTGATATCACTGGGTTTATTGGCCAAAAGAATGTAAAGCAGGGAAAATCCCTGCATGTCCCAGGGCAAGAGGCAGAGTAGAAATGGACTTTTCTACTAATTAGTTCATAGGAAAACCTTTCTTTGAATGAACACACATGATCCTTCAGGTCATTGGGTATATTATTGTCATCGTGTATTTGGTCTTTGAAATTGTATACTGTTATGCAGACTTATAATCGAAACACACTCCTGTCAGCTTACATATATATATCTCTACCATGTGTAGTATCTATGAATTCAACCCACATCAACCCACACTGATACATTCATCACAAGCTGTTTTGGAAGCTTAGATAAAAAGTTTTGAGTGGTTTCATAATACAATACATTTCGCCCCTTTCAAGATAAGCATTCTGACATAAAAATGTTTTTAAGACATTTTATGAATTTGAGTGCATTCATCCTAACCTTGAAAAAGATGGTCTGGACTTTCCCACAGTCCTTTCCGGTTTCTTCATCCACAGAAGAGAAGAGGATGTCTTTGGAGGGAACACGGGCATATGCAATGCGTTTGTTGTTGCTTATCATCCATATGTAAATATCTGGAACACTATGCTGAGGCTATGATGAAAAACAAAAGGATTTACATGAATATTTTTACAGTGATATTAACTCATCTATATGGCCTCATAACCTAGCATATTTTTTATTTTATCAGCTTTTGTGCACTACCTCATCAGACAAGAATCTCAGCTTGAGGAGGAAGTTTTGTGCCAGTTTTATTTTGTCTTTCACATTGCTTTTCTTTACTTGGGATCGCATATTCTTTGCTTGCTGACCCATGTTTTCCTGAAAAAAATTACAACGAGTTTTACAACAGACATAAAAATAGGCCACCAGAATCAGATTTTAACATTAGTTACTATTAATATGCATTAGTAACAGCTGCTTTTACCAATTCCTGCATGCATAATTTCAGTCTCTCCCGGTCCAGTTTAGTCTTCCCAGCCTGATTCTGATCATTGTTTGCCAAAGTTACAAAGGTACTGAAAGAGATTCACTGTTATTTTATCTTTCCTCTGTCATAGATGGTTGAATGAAGATTTGTGAAAATATAAAAAGTCGCTCTCAGGAAACAAATTTTCAGGATTTTTTTGTTTTCATTTTATTTAAAATGTTACTTCTGAATTATCAAGAAATCATGCTTTACTAACTACCACATACACTACCAGTCAAGTTGTTCTTTGAAAAATGCTTACTGAACCTCCAAATGGAGCACAAATAGCACTGTTTCCAGAGAACCACTCATAACGGTCTCAAGATTTGCAGAAATATACATGTATACAAACCTGCAGCCACTGCTGAGTTCCTCCAGGACTCCTCTGAGTCTGCGCTCAGGATAGGCTTTCTCTGTTTTAATGATCTCCTGCACATCATTCAACCCTTCTTCCTATAAAATGATAGAGAATACAGGTTGCAATGTCAATGTATTGATGTATTTTCACAGATTAACCCTCTGGGGTCGACAAACGCGCCGGCGAGTTTTGTGGCATTTTTTCTTAAAACCCATAAAGGAACTTAAATTACTCCGTCATTTGTGATAAGAGCAAAACATCAATTTAATCTGTAAAGGATCTACTTTCATTTGTATACACACATAATAACAACAAAACGTTGTGCTTTTGTAAAATAAAGAAAACAAACAGGGTGCGCTGTCTGCCGCATTGGTCTCCGTGATCTTCATTTAGGAGCGCGTCACTAAAATTAACTGAAACTCTGCGAATACTCGACACAAAGACATGAGAGATATATCTACAGAGAAAGCTTGACATGTCTACTTTTAAAAGCAGTAACTCTTATCGAAAACAAATATTCTCTGTTAAAGTAATCCATATGAAACCAACACGATGTCAAGTCTTTCCTGTCTGATCTCATTATAGTTAATTTGATCATGCCCATGAGCTACTTTCGCTTTTGATATTACAATAGTCCACGTGAGACGTGCGACATGTAAATGCCCACATCACAGCAAACAAAGCAGCAAGACTTTTCTTCAAGTTCATCCCGGCTACTGTTCATTTCTGGAAAAAGACGCGTTGAAGCAGGCCCAAGAAAGTGAGAGAAGGCCGGTCACTCACTGTCAAGCAGTCTCATAAACTGCTGGGTCTGATGGTAGCTGCGCCCAACATGATACCTTTTGGCGACTGTACATGAGACCCCTACAGTGGTGGCTCAAGACCAAGGGGTTTTCCCCGAGGGGCAACCCACTTCGCATGATCAAGGTCACGCAGCAATGCCTACGTGCCTTATACATGTGGAAGAAAACTTGGTTTCTAGTCTAAGGGCCCGGTGCGGGGAGCTCTTTGTCGTCACGTAACATTAACGACGGATGCGTCCCTCACTGGTTGGGGAGCAGTCATGAGTGGCATGGTCTGTGGAGTGGTCGCCATGTCACGTGGCACATCAACTGCCTGGAGATGCTGGCTGTGTTTCTAGCGTTGAAACACTTCCTCCCGGACCTAAGAGACCACCATGTGTTGGTGCTGAGATCAGTGTACATCCCTGGGTATCTTAATCAGGGAGCAGACATCCTGTCGAGGCCTGATCTCCCCTCTCCCTTGGGGGTCAAGGCTCACTAGTCCAGAAGTTGGCCTTCAGGACACTGCGGGATGTCCACTCCGTTTACTTGTCAGGTTCTATACCTGCATTTTGTGCCACTCCTGGCTCCTTTCTCTCACCTTAGATGTGCTCTTCCTCACTAGGCAGGGACTTGCAAGTCTGCCGGCGTGGGCATACTCATTCCCAAAGTGTTTCGACACAGCTTGAGTTTCTGAAGGGGAACGTCTCTAGGTTACGCATGTAACCATGGTTCCCAGAAGGAACGAGACGCAGCGTCTCATAGCTATACTTCCGGCATCCCTGCGAGCGCTTCCCTCATTCTACCAGAAGCTGACGCTGTATCCACCGCACGTGCTTTTAAGCTCCCTGGTCTCTACGTCACCCCGTCCGTGACGTCTCGCCCATCCATTGGACTGGTTACACACGTGATTCAGAGCGTGGTCACACTGAAGGTGTTCCCAAAGCGTTTCAACGCAGCGTCTCGTTCCCTCAGGGAACCATGGTTCCCTATCTGTCGGTCACTACGAGTTATGTCGAATGACATATGTGGTCTCACTTGGGAGGCCAATCATCTCTGAGTTTAAGAGAAAACGCCAATGAAAATTGGCTAGTGGATTTTGCATGCTGAGCCACTCCCCGTGCCTACGGGTATATAAGGCGACAGCGCGCATCCACTCATTAGATTTTTGCTTCAGAGCCGAGTGGTTGTATGAAAAGCTGTTATAGTCCACAAAGCCATTCATCTGCTGTGTGTTGGGAAGCTGTTCTGGTTGGCGGTATGGCGTGAACAGCGGTGTCCCTTCCAGCAATTCCCCTGGGCGTTTCAACTAAAAGAGCAGATTTCCTAAAAGAGCTAATCATGGATGATTCACGTCTTTTTAAAGATGCCGTTTCGTCCGTGTCCTTCTGAATGCGGTCATTTCCTGTCCTCTGACAACTGTCACGAGCGTTGTCTCTGCCCTGCATGCCATGGCAATCCTGCAAGCTCACCAAGCCAAGGCCTTAACAAATGCATGAGGGTAGTAACGGCCCGAGGTTGATTCAGGAGCTGTGTGCGGCGACTGACTTCGCCCTCTGGCCGATGGAAGTCATGGCCAGAGGGCGTCCCTCGGGAAGGCGATGTCGACTCTTGGGGTCCAGGAGTGCCATCTCTGGCTCAGCCTGGTCGAGATGAGAGACGTTGACAAAGTGCGCTTTCTTGACGCTCCCATCTCCCAGGCTGGCCTGTGCGGCGATGCTGTCGAGGGCTGTGCCCAGCAGTTCTCAGCAGTACAACAAGCAGACTGAGGCCATACAGCACATCTTGCCCCAACGTGATCCTCCAGCTGTCACCGTTCTGTCGCGGGCTGTGTCTCAGCCTGCTCGTCGCAGTGGGCGCCCTCTTGCATCCTCTAAACTGGCTCCGCCCCGCGCTGAGACATCGACGAGGACGACGCGTCGAGCCCCACGCAGAAGAGCAGCGCCCCCCTGACACGGGCAACCCGGAGATGTGGGAGACTGCTCTTCAGGAGGTGCTGAGGACAGCACCGCTCCCTTCCCCCGGAGGAGGGCCGGGCGGGGAATCTTTTTCTTTCTGTTCCGTCGTTGGCTCGATGGCCAGTGGTAACCACATTGTCAAAGAAAGAGCAGTTTCCTTTTCCTCTGGGTTGCTAGGCTCGTGGGTTGAAAGTGAGCGACGCACCACTTCCTCACCCTCACCCATGACGCCCCCTATCGCCAGTGGCCAAGAGGTCGCGGTTCGTAGACGCAACACCTCTCCACGCGTCTCTGACGAGTCCCTCCGGGGACACGGCAGTTTTGCTGTGATGACTCAGAACGTGATGCCTTCTGGGCCACCCAGCACAACTCCCCATCTCTGCACCACTGCAGGTACATCGACTGTCCCTTTGGTGCCACTCGTACGGAGTTTGGGAGCGTGGCATGTGTTGCCCAACCCGTCCTGCTGGCTCATTTGACTCGGCTACGCAATTCAGTTTGCCAGGCGTCCTCCCAAGTTCAATGGCGTTCTCGAGTCTTCGGTGGCAGTCCAAGACACCTTTGTCTTGCGTGAGGAGATTGCTGTCCTTTTGGTGAAGGATGCAATCGAGCCGGTCCCTTCAGCCGAGATGGGGTTTTACAGCCCTTACTTCATCGTACCGAAGAAAAGCAGTGGCTTTCGACCTATCTTGGATCTGCGAGTCTTGAATCGGGTCTTTCACAAGTTCCGGTTCAGGATCTTGATGCAGAAACGTATTATCAAATGCGTTCAGCCCAGGATTGGTTTGGACAGTACAAGGTCCTCCCCTTCAGGCTCTCTCTGTCCCCCCGTGTCTTCACGAAAGTCGTGGAGGGCGCCCTTGCCCCACTATGGGAAGTGGGCATCAGGATCCTTAACTATCTCGACGACTAGCTCATTATGGCCTGGTCATGAGAGGAGTTGTGCAATCACAGGGACTTCGGGCTTCGGCATCTCAGTCAGTTGGGGCTTCAGGTCAACCGAGAGAAGAGCAAGCTCTCTCCTGTGCCGAGAATCTCTTATCTCGTTATGGAGTTAGACTCTGTGAGTATGACGGCACGTCTCACCAACGAACGTGCCCAGTCGGTGCTGAACTTCCTGAGTTCCTTCAGAGGCAGAACAGTGGTACTACTGAAATATTTTCAGAGGCTCCTGGGGCATATGGCATCCACAGCCAGAGTCACGCTGCTCGGATTGCTTCATATGAGACCACTTCAGCACTGGTTACACTCCCAAGTCCCGAGATGGGCACGGCGCCGCGGTACACATCGGGTCACCATTATACCGATGTGTCGCCACCTATTCAGCCATTGGTCGGACCTTGCTCTTCTACGGGCCAGGGTGCCCTTAGAACAAGTGTCCCGGCATGTCGTTGTCACGACAGATGCCTGCAATACGGGCTGGGGCGCTACGTGCAACGGGCAGGCAGCTTCGGGGTCCTGGACAGGACCTCGAGTGCTTTGGCACATCAACTATCTAGAGTTGTTGGCAGTGCATCTAGCCTTGTGGCAGTTCCAGTCGCTGCTGCTGGACAAGCACGTGTTGGTCTGAATGGACAACAATGCGGCTGTTTCGTACATCAACCGTCAGGGCGGTCTACGATCACGTTGCATGTCTCAACTCGCCCGCCATCTCCTCCTCTGGAGTCAGACTCAAATCAGGGCTCAAATCGCTGCGCGCCGTCCACATTCCGGGGAGCTCAATTGTGCGGGTGACGCGCTCTCACAACATCACACTTTCCCCGGAGAATGGCGACTCCATCCCCAGACGGTTCAGCTGATCTGGAGTCGATTCGGGGAAGCTCAGGTTGTCCTGTTTGCTTCCCACGAGTCCTCCCACTGCCAGTTGTACTATTCCCTAACCCAGGCCCCCCTGGACATGGACGCACTGGCACACAGCTGGCCTCGGGCTCTACGCAAGTATGCATTTCCCCCAGTAAGCCTGCTCGCACAGACACTGTGCAAGGTCAGGGAGGACAAGGAACAGGTCCTGTTGGTTGCACCTTACTGGTCCACCGGGACCTGGTTTTCGGAACTCATGCTCCTCGTGACAGCCCCTCCCTGGCGCATCCCACTGAGGAGGGACCTCCTTTCTCAGGGGCTGGGCACCATATGGCACCCGCGTCCAGTTCTCTGGAACCTCCATGCGTGGCTTCTGGATGGGACGTGACAGACATATTGCTACCGCCAGCGATGGTAGACACTATCACACAGTCTAGAGCTCCCTTTACGAGGCATGCCTGTGCTTTCAAGTAGAATCTGTTAATGAATTGGTGTTCTTCTCACCGAGAAGACCCCTGGAGATGCTCAATTAGAGTCGTGCTTTCTTTCCTGCAAGAAAGGTTGGAGCATAGGCTGTCACCCTCCACCTTGAAAGTGTATGTTGCTGCTATCGCAGCACATCACGATGCAGTGGACGGCCGGTCTCTGGGAAAGCATGACCTGATCGTTACGTTCCTGAGGGGTGCCAGAAGGTTGAATCCTTCTAGGACACTCCTGATACCCTCCTGGGATCTCTCTATTGTCCTGGCTGGACTTCAGAGGGGTCCGCTTGAGCCGTTTGATTCAGTTGAGCTAAAGTTCCTGTTTCTTAAGACGGCGCTCTTGATTGCGCTCACTTCCATCAAGAGAGTCGGGGACCTCCAAGCGTTTTTGGTAAGTGAAGAGTGCCTTGTGTTCGGGCCGGCCTACTCTCACGTTATCCTGAGACCCCGGCCTGGATACGTGCCCAAGGTTCCCACCACTCCCTTCTGAGATCAGGTAGTGAACCTGCAAGCGCTGCCCCCGGAGGAGGCAGATCCAGCCTTGGCGTTGCTGTGTCCCGTAAGAGCATTATGTATATACGTGGACCGCACCCAGAGTTTCAGAAGCTCTGAGCAGCTCCTTGCCTGCTTTGGAGGCCAGCAGAAAGGGAAGGCTGAAACACGAAACATGATACCTGTTTCTGATGCAGAAAAGCTAGTTCATGCATTCATGACCTCTAGACTAGACTATTGTAATGCACTGCTAGGTGGTTGTCCTGCATCTTCAATAAACAAGCTACAGGTAGTCCAAAATGCAGCGGCTAGAGTCCTTACCAGGTCAAGAAAATATGATCATATTACTCCAATTTTACAGTCTCTGCACTGGCTACCTATTAAGTTCCGTATCAGTTATAAAATATTATTACTTGCCTATAAGGCCCTTAATGGGTTAGCTCCTGCGTACCTAACTAGTCTTCTACCACGCTACAATCCATCACGCTCCCTAAGGTCGCAAAATTCTGGACTTTTGGTAGTACCTAGGATAGCAAAATCCACTAAAGGAGGTAGAGCTTTTTCGCATTTGGCTCCCAAACTCTGGAAGAGCCTTCCTGATACCGTTCGGGGTTCAGACACACTCTCTCCGTTTAAATCTAGATTAAAGACACATCTCTTTGGCCAAGCATTCAAATAATGCATCTCATAAACTTTTACTGCAGTCATAATCTTTTACAGCAGTTATATCTAATCAAATCCAATCCCAAGGCGAGCCGTGCCCCCTGGGGGTGAGAGCCCACTCCACTCGAAGTGTTGCCTCCTCTTGGGCGCTGTCTGCTCTCTGGCAGACATCTGTCAAGCTGCGGGCTGGGTGATACCTAACACCTTTGCAAGGTTTTCCGTGTCATGCTTGCTGCGCAATTTCCCCTCACATGGGGATGCGAGCGTTTTTCTTCTCCCAGCAGAGTTCCCCGGTTGGCGAACCCTGGTCGAGCATCCTCCAGCACCCTCGGCAGTCAGATTTGGTGGAGCAGTCTGACTCCAGGCCCAGTACTGGTGTTAGCATGCCCGGAGTCCCGGTCAGCCCCTGTACTGGGCTAGGTGTCCATATGGCTTTATTCACTATGGGTAATCCCATATGTGTATTCCTCCACGGTAAGGTTTCCCTCTCGGTAAACCCGTGTCTTCCCTCGACAGACCAGCTCGATCAGTCTCTTCTGGCAGTTGTTCCATTGTTCTATATGTAGTACTGCCCCCTGGGTCAGTCCATATCAGTATCTCTACATGTCACCTCCCTACGGGTAGGATGTGGTCTCCGTAGCGACACCGTAACAAACAGGGTTGTGACGGTGTTCAGGTTGTGGCGTTTTCCATGGACCCCATATGTCACATAACTCGTAGTGACCGACAGATAGGGAACGTCTCGGTTACATACGTATCCCTCGTTCCCTGATGGTGGGAACGGAGACGTTATGTCCCCATGCCACAACCTTGAACTATTCGCTGTTTCTCGGCTCCTCGGCGTAAAACCTGATGAGTGGATGCGCGCTGTCACCTTATATACCCGTAGGCACGAGGAGTGGCTCAGCATGCAAAATCCACTAGCCAATTTTCATTGGTGTTTTCTCTTAAACTCAGCGATGATTGGCCTCCCAAGTGAGACCCCATATGTCGTTCGACATAACGTCTCCGTTCCCTCCATCAGGGAACATAACCTAGACATTACATGTGTAACATAGAGACGTTTTCCACTAACCATGCATAAACATTGTTTTCTCAAAAACACAAACATGTACATTCATGCTGCTCACATATTATTGTAGCCCAGTTTGTGCTGAATACAGTGTTATCAGACTTTAGCCATTAATAT